GTTATGTTTAGGAGTTTAAGTACCTTGTATAAATCCCTCGTTATGTTTATGAGTTTAAGTACACTGTATAAATACCTTGTTATGTTTATGAGTTTAAGTAACGTATAAATACCTCGTTATGTTTAGGAGTTTAAGTGCCTTGTATAAATACCTCGGTATGTTTAGGAGTTTAAGTACCTTGTATAAATGCCTCGTTATGTTTAGGAGTTTAAGTACCGTGTTTAAGTCCTTTTTATTATGCTGCGTAATAACTTCGTATAGCATACATTATACGAAGTTATACGATAAACATAACGAGGTATTTATACAAGGTACTTAAACTCCTAAACATAACGAGGTATTTATACAAGTTACTTAAACTCATAAACATAACAAGGTATTTATACAAGGTACTTAAACTCATACACATAACAATGTATTTAAACACGTGTGTATGCCACGGTACAACACATACATAACAAGGTATTTAAAGAGATGTGTATACCACTTTACTACAACACATATATGACAAGGTACTTCAAGACATATACAAAGCAAGGTTTTTAAAGACACACAAGGAGGACAGTCCAGTTATAAGGATTGTTTAAGGTTGGGAAACAGACACGAAAAGGGGGGAGGAGAATGAAAGGGAGTAAAAGAGAGAGGGAGAGATATGGTGTGTCGCGAAAGAGGAAAAGAGAAAGATAAAAAAGAGTAAAAGGGAGGGAAAGAGAAATGTGGGGTCGGAGAAGAGGAAAGGAGAAAGAAAAAAGAGTAAGAGAGAGAGAAGAGGAAGAGGATGAAGATATAGGACGGAAGACCGAGAGAGAGAGTAAAATAATAAAGAATAAAAGACAGAAAGGGTGACAGATAATGAAGGAAAGAGGTGAAAGGAAAATAAAGATAAATGAAAATATATGAGATGATATGCACCCTGAACATACAAAGGTCCGTTTAAGTCTTAATAAATTCTTATTAACTTGAAATTGTTTTTTTGGAGTTTATTAACGTCCGAAATAAAGAATTCTCATACACCATCCTTCAACAACATTAACGAAGAGAAATTATACTTGTTTGATTTCTGTTTAAAGAAGAAAATAAGTGTAATTCAAACATATTTATATCAGTGATTATCTTCGCCATTAATTTCCGTGATTCGCTCACACATGTAATGTCACGTGGCTCTGCAAGAAATATGGAAATGACGGTAAACAGTAAAATTCGATGCTCGTTACACAGTACCTCAATGTTGGGCATTCCTTGCAGCGCTGACCTCCGCACCACAACCGTAATATCAGACTGGAAAATCCTCAAATTCTGGAGAGCTGGAGCATTCAGCTGAGGTATTTCAGTCAGCGAATTGCCGTTCATCGAGAGATTCCTGAGGGAGGCGCTGGAGGCCCCGAGGAAGTCGTCGACCTTCGTCAGGTTGGAGCACGACATCACCTCGACCACGGAGAAGCGGAGGTCGGCGAGGAGACCCGCGGGGAGGTGCTGGACCACCAGGTTGTCGTACAGACCGAATTTGTTGTATTCCGTGACGCCGTTAGAGCTGCTGAGCTGCTTCAGGAAATCTCCGATCTCCTGGAGGCTCGCTGAGGCAGAGCACGTGACGTCAGAAACCCCTTCGCCAGTGACATAGCACGGTGGCTCCTGCGCTGCTGCTGCTGCGGGGTGACAGCAACCCATAAGCACGACGGCTGAGCAGAGCAAGAGATATCGTAGCTGCATCCTGGAAGAGATGTGAAATGTAAGAGACTAACGTAACAGCGTGGTCGTTGGCGTCTCTTATACCGAGCTGTGACGCACGGGCTTATCGTCTTCAAGTCATAAATCAGTCACCTTACGATGTCTTTGTCTTTGACGCAATGAATGTTACGAAGTTTATGATACTACTTAGTAATATCCTTGTGTTTTGTGGGAAGAGAAAAGATAAGATAAAATATAACAAAATCATATATGTGTATATGTATATGTATATATATATATATATATATATATATACATATATATATATATATATATATATACATATGTATACATATATATGTATATATATCTATACATATCTATAGATATATATATATATATATATATATATGTACATACATGTGTGTTATATACATGTATACATGCATGCATACATTCATAAACACAAACACAAGCACTCACACACACACATATATGCATACATATATATATTGTTATGAATTGTCTTCTTGCTCTGTTTAAGAGACGACCTTTTGTCATTTTTGGGCAGAAATAAAAGTATATATAAATCAACTGGGTTTATTGATTTTTTTTTTTTTTTTTTTTTTTTTTTTTTTTTTTAATGATAGGGCTTGCAGTGGCTCTGCAGGTACTGAGGGGATGGGTAGTGTGGAGTGTGTGGAGCTCACAACCATTCTGCCATCCAATTCGCCGCCACCACACCACCTTGCCTCTTCCCGCGCAACTTAGGCCTACTTTATTGTGCCATCATGCTTGTTCATATGCAAAAACGCTTGTTTCCCCAAGCCTATACCCTTCATCAGTTTGGCACTGGTGAAGGGTATATATATACATATACATACATATATAAATATATATATATACATATCATTGCACTGGTCAGTGCCCCGGAGACCGAACAACCCAAACTCTACTACCCCAAATCTCAAAAATGGGGGGTGCAGAGGGTGTCCGACCAACCCAAAATCTCTGCACAGAAGAAGGGTCTAAGGGTGTTCCCACTTCAACAAGCTCCAGTCTACTCGCAAACAACAGACCAGTACCCTAAACATACATAAAACAACGTAGAAGAATCGCCATCGGACGCTATAGGGCCAGTCCAGTAATACACAAAAGCATTTTAGTGGGTTTTCAGGGTCCTGCAAAACAGTGTTCCCGACTAGCTAGGATCTTGAAACTTTGGGGCCGAGGTATGGTTGGGCCAATCTTCAAGAATGGAAATTTTTGCCCCGGTAGAAGCAGAGATCCCAAATTGCCTAGATTAAGATACACATACAGTGGTGCGACCATATTTAGAAGCAGGATCCCTCAAGAACAGAAAGAGTTAGAGATGATCAACCACTCATTGGAAAGGTCTCGTAAAGGAGCGTCTTTTGTTGGGGTAGGGAACATCAGGGTTCTAAGGTATTTTACTAAAATCGAAATTTTTGTGATTTTAGGCCCCCCAAAACAGGGTTAACAAGGAGCCAGGAACTTAAAAATCTAGGACCAGAGAGGTCTAAGGCACTTCCTACCATGTGCCAAGTTTCATGGATGTAGGCATAACATACCCGAGAATAAAGAAGAACTCCATAAAATCGGCCTATAGTTGCTTTTGGCTCATTATTTTATGAAATTAAAGACTGCAAATAGTCGCTTCCCCAATAACAAAACGAGTCATGTTTTTTTCCAAAAACAATGAAATTGTTTGGCTTGCCCAGGGATCCAACAATGTGGAGGAGACAAAAGATATTTTAAATTGGTCCATGAGGCGTGCAATAATTCCATTCTCATATCTCATTCCTTGGTCAAGTTACATCCTCATCTTCGTCAACTTTCTTGTACCCTCGTGGCCCACAAACTTTTAGTCGGAAATCTTAGTTTGTAAACAGTTACAATACATTTAACTCTAGTATTAGTTGGAAAGCTTTGAATTCTAGCATTTTTCGGCGTGGAACTATAGGAAATCTTAGTTGGTAAGCAGTTCCAATACATCTAACTCTAGTATTAGTTGGAAAGCTTTGAATTCTAGCATTTTTCGGCGGGGAACTATCCCTTGCATCCCCCTCCCCCGAGTGGGTTACCATGTATCAGGAAACGGATGAGAAAATATAACTTGTCAGGCATAATGTCTCTCTCTCTCTCTCTCTTTCTCTCTCTCTGATCCTTATTCTGAGTTCTGGGTTAGGAAGGTGATTGAATAAGCCAGCTTTTAGTTAATGACTTCTTGTCTCATTATTTGCTGCCTACACTGGAAGCCTTAAATTTCATTCATTTTGAGTCACAAGAAATCTAAAGTATCTTACGTCTCTACATTGTTGGGTCCCTGGGCCCCAAACAATTTCATTGTTTTTGGAAAATATATAAATATACTTATGTATACATACACGTATAAATGTGTGTATATGTGTGTATATATATACATACATTTATATACACATATATACATACATACATATATATATATATATATATATATATCTATATATATATATATATATATATATGTATGTATGTATGTATGTATATACATACATACTTATATATATATATAAATATATATATATATATATATATATAATGTATATATATATATATATATATATATGTGTGTGTGTGTGTGTGTGTGTGTGTATGTGTGTGTGTGTGTGTGTTTATGTGTATATATATACATACATTTATATATACATATATACATCTATACATACATACATACATATATATAAATCTATACATACATACATACTTATATATATATATAAATATATATATATAAATTTTTGTAACGATGTCTTAATAGTGTTTTTCATATGCCAATTATAGGTAAATGTAGGCCTATTCTTACTATACCGTTAAATTTTGTGGTAGCGTAGCATAACGGTCTTTAAGGCTCATCTCATGGGTGTGTCTATTATTATAACAGTCATAGAAATATGTTTAATTGTATAAACAAAACATAATAAACAATTGGCATATTAGTATGGAAATCTTAGCAATAAACACAATAATTTAAATAAGTAACATCCTCAAATTCATATCTAAAGTTAATTCTATATACCCTCCCTTTTCCTGCTAATTATGAATCAATGACATTTTAATCAACATAATAAAAATATACGTGAGGCAGAATCGAGAACCTCTCACCTAGTCTAAAGGCCGTGCCACACTGGCACTTTTTCCGCATTACTTTTCCGCTGGCACCACGGAAATCGAGGTCATTTTGGCTCGCGCAGTCACACTAGCGATGAGAACCACGGAAACAGTTCGACCAAAATTCTAAATACAGATGGGTTCAACCCCCGCACAGGCTCTGGCGATGATGGACGTTATTCTGGCTCTGTGGCGACGATTTAATGCGAAACAACAAATGTATAAGGCTAAATAAGGGCGTATTCTCGCTACTCTCATGTAGTCAGCTGACGGTGGCAAATGTAAACAAACAGGCGAGTAGCTAGTTACAAACGTATCTGTTTTTATTAAATACAAGAGAGAATTTTGCCAATTTTAAAATAAAATATAAAGTTTAGACTGTCTTTTTTAATCGCTTTTGTAATTATATATATATATTTTTTTTTACATTACTATAACGATTATCTATTATAGCTTATCATTTGAACGAAAAAGACGACGGAAACTTACAAGCGAAAACGATAATCATCGTTTGACTGGAATTTATCGCATTCACCCATAATACAAGCGGTAGTGAAAAATAAATAAATAAATAAACACGGAAAGCGTGAAAGAACCACGGAAATTGTGCTAGTGTGACACCTTAATAACTGTGCTCTTTCCATGATTTTACCTAGGACATAAGCCAATCATTTCCCTTCCTTTCATCTTTACAATTTTCATCTTTTCCACTTCCCTCTAATAAATAATATCCTTCTCAATCTATTCACTGATACCACGGAAAATGTCACCTGCGACTACTTCCGTTACTGCATCCACGGACATTAAAATAACTAAATGAATTACAAATATNTCTTTCTGTCTTTCTCTTCTTTCTTTCTTTCTTTCTCTCTTTCTCTCTCTCCTCTCTCTTTCTTTCTTATCTTTCTCTCTCTCTTTCTCTCCTTTCTCTCTCACTCTTTCTCTTTCTCTCTCTCTCTCTCTCTCATCTCCTCTCTCTTTCTCTTTCCCTCCCCCCCCTTCTCTCTCTCTCTCTTCTCTCTCTTTTCCCTCCCCCCCCTCTTCTCTCTCTCTCTCTTTCTATAATATATATATATATATATAATATATATTATATATATATATAATATAAATAATATATATATATTATATATATTATATATATATATATATATATACATAGTATGTATATATAATATATATGTAAATTATATACATATATGTATATATATAATATATATATATATATGTATATATGTTCATTTATATATATATTATATATTATATATATATAATATATTATATATATATATATATATTACATACATACATCATACATATATTAATATATATATATATTAATATATTATATATAATATATATATATATATATATTATATTTATATATAATATATATATATATAAAATATATTATATAATATATTAATATATATATATTATATATATATTATATATATATTATATATTATATATATATATATATATACATATATATATAGTATATAGAACGTATCTTATATGTATGTTATGTATGTAAATGTATATGTATATGTATGTATGTAAAGATATTGGTCTTTCCTCTTCTTTTTATGTACAAGTGATATGTGGCTCAGCATTGCTTAATAAATGTTGGGATATGCTGATGATATTTCTCTCTATGCTGATATTCCTTCTCTGGCAACCAGGCAAATAGTAGCTGATAGCCTCACTGTAGACCTGATGATAATTCAATCGTAGTGTGCTTGGAGGGGCTTGAAATTAAGTCCAAGGAAATGACCGTAAGTTAGTCTAGGATGCACTTGCTTCAGCTTCAGCTGTTAGATATGACAGCATGAGATGGGGGGATAAAAGTTACTACAAGTTCTGTAGCCTCAATTCAAAATCATTTGATGTTAAG